CCCTCGCAATGTTCATTTGGAGATTGTTGATGACATGACCACCGATCAGTTCCTTCTTGCATTCAGGGGTCACTGTGCGATCTATGGAATTCCTTCACTAATCCTGTGTGATAATGCCAAGACATTCCAGAAAGGGGGTGAAGAAATTCAGAAGCTGTTGCAAGTCATAGAAGATCAGACCGTGCAGCATCACCTTGCCCAGAAGAGAGTTCAGATGAGGCATATTCCTGCCAAGTCTCCGCACTGGGGAGGCATGTATGAGCGACTGATTGGAGTAGTTAAGATGTCAATCAAGAAAGTTCTTTGTCGCGCGCTCATTAGTCTGCCCGAGTTACAAACACTCATCAAAGAGGTTCAAGCAGTCGTTAATGATCGCCCAATTACATTCGTCTACCATGATGCGAATGATCCAGAACCTTTGACACCGTCAAAGTTGCTGTATGGTTTCGATGTTACAGCTTTGCCACACCCTGTTACTGATCCTGACGAGTTGGATGATGAAAACTTCAATGAACATGATCAACTCAAGAAGGCCTTCAGACGAAGGCTTTTGCTGTCTCAGCACTTTGTCCAACGGTTCAAGAATGAGTACCTTGCTTCGCTGCGGGAGCGTCATGTGTATCAGTCTAATAAGCGAGGATCGCAGGAGGAGATCATTAAAGTTGGGGATGTTGTACTCATACACGCTGAAAGTGTTTCTCGTAATTCCTGGAAGTTAGCCATTGTAAAGAAACTTCTCCGTGGCAGTGATGGCCTAGTTAGAGCTGCAGAGATCAAAACAAACTCTGGAGTGACTAATCGTTCAATACATCTCTTGTACCCCTTCGAAGTCACACTGACGGATCCTAAGGAACACTTTACAGGAACTGAACTGCAGATTCCACAGCTCGAAACACTCAGAAGAAGCAAACGAGTTGCTTCACGCCCTCGCCCCCAGTATGTGGAATCTGGTGACTAGTAGTCTAGGCTGCAATATTATTAACCTGCGGTGTGCGTTCGGCACATGCGCAGAGACAAAAAAAAACATGTGCTCGAGTGCAGGAGAGAACCGCCATGTCGAAACTTGTACTCTCTATGTACTCGTTGTGTCGTTTTACTAAGAGTGGCCGCCCCGTTTTATTCTGTCACTGTTAGAAGTTTCTGATTAAGTATTCGTTAATTAAAGTCGATCAATTCTTTGTTTCTTCTCTTCGTTTTGTAAAGTCAATCTCATTAATTCTCTTCTGTGTAAGCCATTTGAAATTACCGGTTGGAAGGTATTGCGACATTTCCAAAGGAGGATTAGTCGGGTATCCCATTAGCCCTTGCGCATTATTATCGATGAGAAGGTGTCACGTTGCATCGAATTAAAGTGCACGCGCTGGAAAGTCGACTGAATATTAAACGGCTGTTTGTCCTTATTCAGGAGCACAGAATGTGATTTAAACGGTTTTATGTATTCTTGTAACAGTTAAGTTGACTTTAGTACTTTAGTACTTGAACTTGCTCTTCTCTAAATGGAAAAAAAAACGCCTTTGTTATGAGTGGTATGCACGACTGAGTGGCTTTGTTTATACGCTTAACTTTAACGCTTGATCGATATTTGCCTGTTGTGCTATTATTGGTGAGTACTTAAGCATATTATTCCGCCTGGTGGTGCTTGAATAATGGCACTTTTCACTATTAGTGAAGGTCCCTTAAGTCCCCAAATTTTGTAGGAATGTGTGACCGTTGAAATTTGAGACTTGTAAGTCTAGCCAAGGCATTTCTGGGATGTTCTTGTTTCCTTCATATTCGTCATATGATCGAATATCGGAAGCGGTAGAGACCGATTTTCGACGCAATCGAAGTCGAGGATTATAAGCACTGAACGTCTTCGATCTTCGCTTTCATCTTGTAGCTGTTTGGGTAAATCAGAAGAATATCACATTGAGAAGTCTGGAAGTCCTGGACAATAAGCCAAACTGTAAAGTTTGATGTAAGTGTGACTATCCAAATCCAAGCAGTTGACATAAATTAGTGGCGAACGCGAGAGCACTTCGCTGTTGATCTCAACTACCTCCTGCTTGACTGAGTAATCACGTGACTAGAGCGAATTTAAAATATATATAGTTCAAAGCGTGGAATTGTGGGGTATCTGACTAATCCTCCTTTGACATACATATTAACATATTTTGAAGGTTTGCTTTTATCATAGTCCTTCATGTATTTGTTGTTAGCTTTTGCATATCTATTGGCAATATATGAAATACCACCTCTTATGCCTTTTTCAATGAATAGTATTCCATCAACTCTGTCTTCAGTTCAAGTTTGATGCCACTCATTTTTAACATAGCGTCCCAACTGAGACCAGGAGATATGAAATAATGACATGGATCAAGCTTGTAATACTGCAAACATGTATTTCTGAAAGTTTGAAACAACACATCACTTTGCAGATACAAATCATGATATTCTCTCATAGATTTCAACTTGAATGTCTTCCAAACATTTTGCACATGTTCATTTTCTTCATCAGTTTTATGTGCTCACCTGTTAGAATACTTTAAAAATAATTTTTTGAAGGGAGCTATATTTCTTCAAAATTTTTCAAAGCTGTCCATATAATCATAAGTGGCGCGCCTTCGGCGTGGCATTGGGGTCCACAAATATTTCAATTGGCGGACCTTCCATGCAAGGCAATGCCCAATGGGAGCGAGTATTAAGAGTGGACAAGGCATATCTGTCAAGAAGCCAAGCCTTCATCATGAGCATGAGCACGCGGCGTCGCAGGGGGTGCGTGGTGCTCCACAGTGATCGTTGATGAACCCCGTGGCGATGATAGATGAAGGCTCTTGTGAGTCAGGAATTCCTTCTGGGATGCTGTTCTCTTTTGGTTCACTGGTGCTGTCTTAATAGGGGAAGTCATTGGTCAGTAGCCCAAGATTGAGCGGTAATTCGTATGACAAGTACATTGCTCAGACTGAGCTGCTTTCATACACCATGGAGCGGTTGGATATTTCGTTATCACTCCGAGAAGTCGCTGTGGGCTTGGCGAAGAAGGCTCCTTTAATTGCGATGGTAGATTGATTAGCCGCTGAAAGGCTGAGGCTGACGAGGTACAAGTCATCACAAGAGAATCCACGAGTAAGGAACTCTTCTAAGAACCACAAGTCTGATTGTGCTCTGGTGTCGGCGAATTCAGATACTGTCACACAGTTGCTTGGGCTGTGGTCGTGGTTCCTATTGGTTGGCTTTTGGAGGGAGATTGTGATCTGTACCCTGGGTTGGTCTCTGAGCCGGACCCGTCTCCATTCACCCTTTAAGAATTCGTGATGCTTGATTCTGGCGGGTGAAGGCTTGGAGGATAACACAGTTTGTCGCCTGGTTGCGTTGACAGCAGTGCTGTCACCCTCGTAGGTGTCCAGGGTCGGTTTCTGCGCAGTGGACTGATGTAATCTAGGAGATTGGGTCAGGCTCTATTGACTCTAGTGCTTGAACATTTGCTGGTTGTTGGCTCTTTCTTCGCCGGCAAGCTTTGAAGCAGCTGATGTAGACTTGGTGTGGGTTGGCATTCCACCGTCGGGCTCCCTCTGTGAAGACTTTAAATGAGCTTTTACAAGATAGGACATGGAGCCTTCTTAGCCTGATCAGCTGGAGGTGGGATTGTGGCCAGGGCTGGCTGTGCCCTTTTGATTCGCAGAAAGGATGACATGGCCGTGCGGGCTGAGGATGGCAGGACATTACGCACCATTTCTTTGTTTTCAACGAGTGCAGTGACGTCAGTTACTGGTTTCTGCAGGCTATCCGTAGTCCCGAGGACTTCGCGGTGTATATTTAAGTCATATATGCCCTTCAAGAGAGCCTCACGGAAGATGTGGTCGATGTAGTCCATAGTCTCGCCGCACTCGCATACCGCACTGAAAGCACAGGTCTCTGCTTTACCCCGCACTCGAGCAGTGAAGGCGCGTAGTGCTTCTTCGCGTTCTTGATGCAACTGCAACAATTCAATTCGTAGAACACACGTGGCAACCAGGATGACTGCTAATAAACGCACGGGGGAGAGGAGACTTCGAAGGGGTTCTAAGGTGGCGTTAGAGTTGGCTTTGAAAGGACTGTTTCCGAGTGTAGGACCAGCGCACTGGAATAGTTGGGATGGTACTGATACATCGTCTATGTTCGAACCGGGGCAAAATACTTCCCGGTGACGGACAAACAGGCTCCATTCTTCGACTGATAGACCGACGTCCACTTTGGGCCGCTCGAGTTTTGGGTCTCTGGGCACTGGGGACTGGGACGGCGCAGCAGTGGCAAGTGCTTCTGATACATCTTCTGACGCGAAATTTGGGGACTTCGCATGTGACGATAACCATGGTACTCCTCGATGCTGGTTATTGTTTTTAATTGAACAAGTATAAAAGAGTCCTACGATACAAATAATGAGCAAACGATGCTAGAGTAACAGCTTTGTAGGCTAAGCATATGTAAACAAATATATAAGGATAACCGCACAGTAGTACCATTGGTAAACTTACAGAAATGATGCGGTGAGCTCACGTCCTAACGTTTATGAAACATAAAGAACAAAATGGCCGACCTTACTGGAGTCGGTTAGTGGTCTTAGCTAGTTCCTGGGCCCCGATGGCCAATGGGTTACTCTTCAAATTCAATTACCAGCACGGAGATATAACCGCAAAAATTCAAAATATTTGCCCATCTTACGTTGGTTGATATCCACGAGTCAATTTCCAGAAATGGAGGAAAAATATTACTTTAAAAGAATAGCTTCATGGAAAGTCTGTCCGTATGGCATTAACGCACGAGTTGGTAGTATCGGAGATCGAACGAATGAGTGCAGCGAACCAGTGAGATTTCTGATACCAATTAAACCATTATTTAATGCTTGTTAAATGACAATTTATTGTTAGACCGGTTCAAATCAAAATCTCATGAGTCGATCATGAAAGATGCAAACCATACAAATTTTCTTGCCGAGAGGAACAATGGAACATTACTGACAACAAGTCAAAAAAAAATACCCTACGCAATACCTGTTGGTACTTAAAACAAGGTTTCCTAATCTTGAAGGTTCGCAATCTTCTCTGTATATTCGTCGAATGGGATGCCAAACTCCTCAATATACATGTTTGATTTCCAGCTGCTTTTTGTCGCAAAACTGTTCTTTGGACCGTTTCAAAGCTTGCCACTTTTTTTTTGTTTGTTTGTTTTCTTTTGTGCTTTTATTCTGCCTGCTTTTTATTCCACATAATCCTCCACAGAAGTTCCTCAGTCATCTTTTGTAGGTAGTCTGACTAAATGAAGAGTCTTGAGACTGAGGGGATTTATAAAATTTGAAAAACATTTGAAAGTGAAACCCTGTCAGTGAAAATTGAATGAAAATCGCCTTGATACGCTTCACACGTGAAAAGTCCGATATACGCGCTAATAGATCATTTTCCATATATTAAAGTTCTAACATCGCTTCGAGATTTGGGGGAATAAAACGAAAGAAATCATAGGGACTCAGAGTATTTCTCATAGTTCGTCTCTACAAATTATGATATACCTGAATCAATCAAATGGTTCATTTGTAAAATCCTGTCGTCCAGGGAAATATATTAAAGTTCTCAGAAAAGAGTAAATATACATAACAAGCAGATCTGCGTTCAAGAAATTGCCTGGGCATCGTTTTCACTTAATCTATTTAATCTTATGGATGGAGTAGGTTTTAGGTAAATTCTCTTAGGTTTATAAGGGAAAAAGTTTTTAAGGGAAAATCTTTCAAACAACGAGCTTAGTAACCCTTAACACGCTAAGCGTTCTGGAAACATCATTTTCATAAAGAACTTTTTCCTAGATGTCAGATTCCAAAAAAATACATTTGGTCTTTGTGTTCATGCGGTGTTCAGGCTTTGAGATTGTATCCTGCGATCTGTTTTTGATTAGCTTGAACTGCTTCCTGCTAGAAAATCCTGTTCTTTGTTTCTGCTGCTGGAGGTCACACTTCAAGTTTGCCTAATGGAGCTCCACGTGACATATAATTTATAAATTGTTTTTTAGGTGTTCTTTTCTTTAACGAGGGGGGATGATAAAAAAAGGATCAAAACAACGTTCAAAACAAATTTATATCGATCTTTCAAAGAACTAGTATTTTAATAAGTTAATATAACAGAAATTTTAATTTCCTTCGCCTATATCTACTTTGCAGGAAAGACACACAAGAATGGCAGACATGCTAAGGGTTTTGGAAAATGCGCTCGAAGATATTGATGACCTTACCGAAGATCAGTCCTTGCAGGATATACAAATTGCCGAACAATTAAAACAAAAAACAGAAGATATGTTTTCCAAACTGAAGAAAGCCATTGAAAGTCTCCATGGAGCGGCTGATAAAATCGAACAAGTCTGGCGTGACAGCAGGGTATTGCGTGCTAGTGGAACCTCCATCGCCATATTCGGGAGCGTCTTCACCATTGCTGGAGGGATTGCAACAATTATGTCGGCGGGGATTGCCTCGCCCCTGTTATTCTCAGGGGTGGCCGTTGGCGTTGCTGGAGCGAGTGCAAACGTTACCGGTAGCATCATGGAAGCAGTAATCAAATCCAAAGAAGTCGAAAAAGCCAAAACAGACTTAAAAGAGGCAAAAGAAGGCATAAAGGATGTGAAGGAGATTATTGAAGACTGCTTGAAGAAAGAAAAGCTTTCATGGTTTCTCTGTATTCAAAAGCTGGCAAAGGATAGAAAGTGGAACACTCCTGTGTTAAAAGTCGTTGTTGGGCTGGTTCAGGCCGCGAAGGTACTTTCGAACAGAGGGCAGGCCTGTGCAGGAGCAGCAGTAAAGGCTCTTGGAGAAGAGGCTGGAAAGGCTGGTGCAGGATCTGCTGGCAAGGCTGGCATGGAAGCAGCTGGGAAGGTAGGTGCAGGAACTGCAGATGACGTCCTGAATACTGGAATGAAAGCAGGAAGCAAGGTTGCTGGTCAGGTGATCATAGGAGTCAGTGCTGTGTTTTTGTTGTGGGATGTTGTCAATCTCAGCTGCACAATCGATGAACTTTGGCAAAACAAGGGATCCGACGCTGCCAAAGATTTGATAAAAAAGGCAAAGAAGCTTGAGGACATTTTAAACAAGTTAGAACAGGGAGAAATGGTTTGAACTTTTTTGAACTGATCTCGTAAACAACTGAAAAGTTATCAATTCATAATACAAAGCAACTAAGATTTTGAATGAACACTAAACTTTAATGCAGAAAACGATTTACTCTCGGTTTGCCATCTTGTAATGATGTTGTGCTAACATAAAAGTTTATCATGGAAGAAGTTGATAATGGCTGTGATAAACCGTGTCATCTACCGTGGCTAATTTTGAAGAGCTAGCGTATCAAGCTTTGACAAGGTGTAGCATATTCCGGTAGTAGCTAAGAGAAGTAACCAGCTCAGGGAAGACTAATAGGCTTTCAGGAGTCAAATAAGACAAAAATATCAGTAATTACTCATAAAAGTAAAATTTTGTAACAAAACATCTTAATCAAGTTTTCTCTGAAGTCAAGTTCGTTCATTAATATGTATACTGCAGTTTTAACAACAAATACTGCAGCAAATACTGTATAACTTTGTAAATTATAATTTACAAATACGAACAGTAGCCGTCTGCATTAAAATTTTTTTGTCAGAGTCCAATTGTTTAACCGTACTTTATTGTTCCACTTTTTCAGGGGGCGGATACCATCAATAAGGGCAAAGACGTAAGAATGAAATGATGTGAAAGGAAAAGCCTTTTCACTCAATACCCACAACGCACAACGAGAGTAAGATACCAAAAAAATCGTTACTTTATAAACATCAAACTAAAGACACATAAAAAAAAAACAAGGAAAATGAACGCATACCAGCCCGCTCGCCAAGTTTCACCGCCCCCTTTTCCCACCCCACATCTTAAGTCAATGATCTAACCATATGCGTCACTGAGCCCCGAAGATTGGCGGATTTGTACATCTATCATAACAAAGGAAGAGCAACATTAGAACACAACCTATTTCCTCCATCGCCTACCATTTAAATGGTTTAAAGGTCGCTTCTCTATTATAAGTCTAAGACGTTTCCGGTGCTCAAAACCAAAAAACGTTTCGTAACAAATCATGGGCTGCTTAGCATGCAGGTTGCAACTGACTGGCAGCAGGGAAACCAGGTTGTTAACGTTGCATAGAAGGTAAGGACCCTTAAAAACGCTTTTGCCAACAAAACAAAAAGAAGGATTACGGATAGGGAGGAATTCGGCAGGCGAGATAAGACAACTATTTTCTGACCGCATGATTATAATTCTCAATGGTGAACGAGTTGAGGATTGGTCTCGTGCCCAGACCTTCCACGGCCAAGTTGCAGTTACACGGTAGGATCTGGGTATAAAATTAGGTGGGGCCTACCCCCAGCGCGGATGCCTGCCACATCCACCATTAATCATGGAATCCATTAAACTGTCTCGCGAAATAGTCTAAGACTCTTTGCCGAAGTATAACAAAGCTTTTTAAAGGACTTTACACTCAGCATCACTGCAAGGAGAGACAATACCTGAAAAAAGAAAACATATTTTCAGTAATTAACTTAGAGTTGTTCCCTAAGTTCCTTGCAAGGGTCTTTGTGTTTGGGTATAAACCCTACCACTCCTAAGATCTCAATATTAATTCTCCTTACTGTCTGCCTTACAATGTCACAGTGTTAATTCATACAATTTGGAATTGAATCAACTAATAATCCTCTTTTGGATATTTTTCTTTATTTTCATTACTTGTCTGTTTGATATTGTGTCAATATTGTAAAGAGAAATTCTGTCTTGGTCACCCATGGTAGCTAAAAGGGTTAAGGTAATATATAGATTTAGCCAAGCCCAAAAGCGGAGCTCACATTTTTTTTCCCGCACGTCTTAAGGGCACAACGCCTTGCCTTACAATTATACTGGGTTATCTGCATTGCTGTAATAGCTTTGTGTGTGTGTTTTAGCTTAGTATTCTTCTGTTTGTACTATATAAGGGTGTGTATGTGTGTGTGTGTCTTTTTCTCTTTTTTTATTATCTTCCTATTTTTTTCTTAATTTTTATTTTGTATGTAAACGTAAGAAAATGCTTGAAATAAATTTATTAAAGAAAAAAAAAAAAGACACAAAAACGAAAAACAAAACAACGCCTTACCCCGACCAGGATATGAACCTAGGTCGTCCTAATCGGAGCCCGGTGCACTGACCACTGGACCACTGCACAAAGCATTGGCATATTCGCGGTAGAGTTAAGGAGGCTGAATATAGTTTGTTTGGCGCGCGCAGACTGGGTTCTAATTTACCCGGGACTTTGAAAAGTTGCAAAAAAAAAAAAACACAAACAAACAAACATGGCCGCTGCGCTTGGGCCAGAATCATTTTTTCATCTGCCCAGTAGACTATGTTTTACGCTTCTAGGTAGGCTACCTACACTTTCTTCTATCTTTATCAGTAGTGTGTTTAAAAAACGGAAAGCTGCAACATTCTCAAGTGACCAAAATACGCGTGAATCCGGCCGCAAACACGATCGCGATCGTCGGAGCTATTTACCCATATCGTGGCTGGTTTCCGGAACACTAAATAGGTGCTACCTACATGCAATATCAGCAGCTACGCTTCTCGTGTAAACAAGTCACTTTCAAAACTGTGAATGGTGAGAGAACTTTGCTCAAAGAGAATGTTCCAGTACACTCCTAAGCGAATGTCTTCAATCTATTACCACTTTCCTTTCCAGCAGTACGCATTGTCACATCGTTTAATTGGCCATAATTCTTCTGTGTTCGACACTCCTACACTCCTACGATGTGCTGGAAATTCAAATAAAGAAACATTATCGTCGAAGAAAGTGTTTTTCGCCGATAGCCTTACACTCATCAAAACACTCGCTAAAGGTGGTAACGCTCTTCTCAATCCTGACGGAAAACCATGTAAAAGCAATCTCCCTTCTGTGTATCAAGCTGTTTTTTATGAAGATTTCAACGCACACGATGCTTTGGAAGATGTACGTGCCCTCCACTGTGTCCTCTTTCAATCCCCGTTGCAGCTAACAAGCGCTGACATTGTAAACAACAGCATGTGAAATCCGCCTCCTTCGCTTTCGTAGACATGGACTTTCTTGACGGACACCACGAACGCATGTAAACTTTCAAAGACAAGCTCTATTCACAGGGCGATAACGGGCTCCTCGTCAAAGAAAACATCATTCAGAAAATTGCAGAAAGCGGTCTGTGTTACGATGACTTAACGATGACGGAAATTTGAAACTTTAGAGTTACGTATTTCTATTTCCGCTCGGTGAATTTTTTTTTAATTTTTGCACGTTAACTTTGAACAGCTCTGTGCGTGTTTTACAAAAGTTCGAAAAAATTCTGTCGGAGGGAAAAAAGTTAACGATGAATTCTAAAAAAGGCCTCTTTTCCTTAAACTTTCTGACAGAATTTTTTTAGACTTAACAGTCAAGCAGATAAAAACAGCCAAAGGACGCATGCAAAATCTAAAATAAATTCACCGTCCAGTTTTTAAGAAAATTCAAGTCAAGTCTAATTTTGGAGCCAGCATTGCAAGCCAGCAACGTTGCCATGGCAACGAATTTTTCAATATACTTACAACAAAGTGATTCTTCAATAATATCTTTATTTCGGGGGAAAATGTGATCGCGATTCGTTAAAGCTATGCTTCGTAATTTTAGTTTAAATATCTTGCATCAGAAAAGTGAAAAACTATATCCAGCCTCCTTAAACGCGCATGCTAAAAGTAGCACCTTGTACGGACTCCCGTAGGGTCATCAGTCAAAAATTTTTCGTCTTGATGGGTTACAGCTACCATTTTGTATACTTATGGGGCTTCGCTGCGCGCGCTGCGAGCTCCGCTATCCTATGAATCTAAGCCCCAATTCCTCATTATCCCGATAGGCTTTTTGTTTGTTCCTCATCGAAATGCAGTTATTACACAGCTCTCACTTGAAATTAAGCGCAGATGCAACAGACCTCAGAAGATGATCCCTCTGTATTCATTTTATAACTTCCTCTCCACTGCATACAACGAATTAAAACAGAACATCCTTCTCATTATTCTATGGAATTTAAAAGAGGTCACACAAAGGAGAGAAGTTGTCTAGATGTTGTTTTAGTAGTCATAACATGTAATTTGCTCATAAAAATGGTCAAAAAAAACGAATTAATAAAAATTATAACTTTTTCTTGAAAATCTTAACGTCAACGTAGATAAATATTTTTTAATATAAAATAGGTTTGGACTCTATGATTTTTACTCCTTCAAGGCATTCTCGAGGTCGTCTCCCTTTTGTCTCAGAAATGTTGCAGCTTCAGATCCCTTGTTTTCAATGAGATCCCTGATTGTAAAGCCCAGGTCTATGGCATCCCAAACCACAAATGCAACATTGACCACGATGACAACTTTACCGACAACTTCACCGACCGCCTCAGAGCCAGCTCTAGCCCTTGCTTGGACTACGTCATCAGCCGCTTGTGCTCCAGCCTGACGAGTTGCTTGTACCACATCGTCAACAGATTGCGCAGCCGCCTTTCCTGCCCCTTGTGCACCGCTTTGGGTTGCAGCTTTTGCACCGGCTTGACTCGCTGCCTGTGCACAGGCCATTACCTTTTGTGCTACTTGGACTGCCATTTTAGTAGGTGTTCCCGAGGAGAAAAACACAAGCTCACGAAGGATCATCATGACCACAGGGCTTCCCAATTTGAGGGATTTGGCAAGGTAATAAATATAGATAAGCCTTACTCTTTCTTTCGCTATCAAAACTGTCTGGACGATCCTGTTTACCTCATTTACACTCTCTATGGTCTCATCTAAGTGTTTCTCGGCCTTTTTTATTTCAGCAGAATTTATCAGACCTTCAACGATGGCTGTCCCAAGGTTTGTAGTGGCTCCAGCGCCCCCAACACACAATCCTGCTATGGACAAAGGAGTAGCAACCCCAGCTGTCAGTATCGCTGCAATTCCTCCACCGATTGAGAGAATCCCTCCCACTATTCCAACGCTGGTTCCAACCGCATGTGCTGTCTTGCAGTCCCTCCACACGTCATCTAGTTTCTTAGCAGCTGCACGAAGACTCTCAGCAGTCTCTTTCGCGTTAGTATTCATCTTCTCTGTTTTTTCTTGAAGCACTTTTAAATCTCCTTTATCTTGCTGCTTTTCTTCTTCGGGCAAGAGGTTGTTCTATTCTTTGGCGTTCTCTCTACAATTTAGCATTGAAATAACTATTTATGATCAGATGAATACCACGTACATAGATAATTACATGTTAAACGCCCCAAAGCCAATGTATAATTGATATGTTTGCCAGATAGAATTTAACCGCCTCCCGGTTTGCTCAGTTGGTTAGAGCGCCGGATTGTGTTGTGCGGGAGGTCCAGGGTTCGAGCCCCGGCCGGACCGATACTCATGGTCTTAAAATAAGGAGGAGAATTTGCTACCTTTCTATAATCAAGAAATGGATAGATATTCTAGTCTTCTCGGATAGTTCGACACTCCTACACTC